AATCCTAGTCTCCGAGAAAAACAGACTTTGAAGCATCAAAGATCAAAAGAGACAAAGAAGGCCATGATAATGTGGTAAAGGGATCAATTCAACAGGAAGAGCCAAACTATCCTAAATATATATGCACCTAATACAGGAGCACCCAGATTCATAAAGCAAGTCCTTAGAGACTTACAAAGAGACTTAGACAACCAACAATAATAGAGACTTCAACACCCCACTGTCAACATTAGACAGATGAACTAGACAGAAAGTTAACAAGGATATCCAGGAATTGAACTCATCTCTGCAGCAAGCAGACCTAATAGACATCTACAGAACTCCCCACCCCAAATCAACAGAATATACATTCTTCTCAGCACCACATCACACTTATTCCAAAATTGACCACATATTTGGAAGTAAAGCACTCCTCAGCAAATGTACAAGAACAGAAATTATAACAAAGTGTCTCTCAGACCACAGTGCAATCAAACTAGAACTCAGGACTAAGAAACCAATCAAAACCGCTCAACTACATGGAAAACTGTAATAACCTGCTCCTGAATGACTACTGGGCACATAAATCGAAATGAAAGCAGAAATAAAGATGTTCTTTTTGGAAACCAAATTTAGAGAACAAAGATACAACATACCAGAGTCTCTGGGACACACTTAAAGCAGAGGGAAATTTATAGCACTAAATGCCCACAAGAGAAAGCTGGAAGATCTAAAATTGACCACTTCTAAGATCACAATTAAATGAACTAGAGAAGCAAGAGCAAACACATTCAAAAGCTAGCATAAGGCAAGAAATAACTAAGATCAGAGCAGAACTGAAGGAGATAGAGACACAAAACCCTCTCCAAAATCAATGAAGCAGGGAGTTAGTTTTTGAAAAGATCAACAAAAATTGGATAGACCGCTTAGCAAGACTAATATGAAGAAAAGAGAGAAGAATCAAATACACGCAATGAAAATGATAAAGGATATCACCACCGACCCCACAGAAATACAAACTACCATCAGAGAATACTATAAACACCTCTATGCAAATGAACTAGAAAATCTAGAAGAAATGGACACTCCCCTGACACTTCCACTCTCCCAAGACTAAACCAGGAAGAAGCTGAATCCTTGAATAGACCAATAGCAGGTTCTGAAATTGAGGCAATAAATTATAGCCACCAACCATGAAACGTCCAGGACTACGGATTCACAGCTGAAATTCACCCTAGGTGCAGAGGAGCTGCTACTATTCCTTCTGAAACTATTCCAATCAATAGAAAAAGAAGGAATCCTCCTTAACTCATTTTATGAGGCCAACATCATTCTGATACCAAAGCCTGGCAGAGACACAACAAAAAAAGAGAATTATAGACCAATATCCCTGATGAACATTGATGTAAAAATCCTCAATAAAATACTGGCAAACTGCATCCAGCAGCACATCAAAAAGCTTATCCACCATGACGAAGTGGGCTTCATCCCTGGGCTGCAAGGCTGGTTCAACATATGCGAATCAATAAACGTAATCCAGCATATAAACAGAACCAAAGACAAAAAACACATGATTACCTCAATAGATGTGTAGAAAACTCTTGACAAAATTCAACAGCCCTTCATGCTAAAAATGCTCAGTAAATTCGGTATTGATGGAACGTATCTTAAAATAATGAGAGCTATTTATTCCAAACCCACAGCAAATATCATACTGAATGGGCAAAAACTGGAAAAATTCCCCTTTGAAAACCGGGTAAGACAGGGATGCCCTCTCACCATTCCTTCCTATTCAACATACTGTTGGAAGTTCTGGCTAGCAATCAGGCAAAGAGAAAAGAAACAAAGTATTCAGTTAGAAAAGAAGAAGTCAAATTGTCCCTGTTTGCAGATGACATGATTGCATATTTAGAAAACCCCATTGTCTCAGCCCAAAATCTCCTTAAGCTGATAAGCACCCCAGCAAAGTCTCAAGATACAAAATAAATGTGCAAAAATCACAAGCATTCTTATACACTAGTAACAGACAAGCAGAGAGCCAAATCATGAATGAACTTCCATTCACAATTGCTTCAAAGAGAATAAAATACCTAGGAAACCAACTTACAAGGGATGTGAAGAACCTCTTCAAGGAGAACTACAAACCACTGCTCAGTGAAATAAAAGAGGACACAAACAAGTGGAAGAACATACCATGCTCATGGATAGGAAGAATCAATATCGTGAAATGGCCATATACTGCTCAAGGTACTTTGTAGACTCAATGCCATCCCCATCAAGCTACCAATGAGTTTCTTCACAGAATTGGAAAAAAACTGCTTTAAAGTTCATATGGAACCAAAAAGAGCCCACATTGCCAAGACAATCCTAAGTCAAAAGAACAAAGCTGGAGGCATCACGCCATCTTTAATTTCCAAACTATACTACAAGGCTACAGTAACTAAAACAGCATGGTAATTGGTACTAAACAGAGATATAGACTAATGGAACAGAACAGAGTCCTCAGAAATAGTACCACACATCTACAGCCAACTGATCTTCGACAAACCTGACAAAAACAAGAAATGGGGAAAGGATTCCCTATTTGTTAAATGGTGCTGGGAAAATTGACCATAAGTAGAAAGCTGAAACTGGATCCTTTCCTTACTCCTTATACAAAAATTAATTAAAGATGGATTAGAGACTTAAATGTTAGACCTAATACCATAAAAACCCTAGAAGAAAACCTAGGTAATACCACTCAGGACATAGGCATGGGCAAGGACTTCATGTCTAAAACACCAAAAGCAATGGCAACAAAGCCAAAATTGAAAAATGGGATCTAATTGAACTAAAGAGCTTCTGCATAGCCAAAGAAACTACCATCAGAGTCAACAGGCAACCTACAGAATGGGAGAGAATTTTTGCAATGTACTCATCTGACAAAGGGCTAATATCCAGAACCTACAAATAACTCAAACAAACTTATAAGAAAAAAGCAATCCCATTAAAAAGTGAGTGAAGGATATGAGCAGACGTTTCTCAAAAGAAGACATTCATACAGCCAACAGACACATGAAAAAATGCTCATCATCACTGGCCATCAGAGAAATGCAAATCAAAATCACAATGAGATACCATCTCACAGCAGTTAGAATGGCAATCTTTAAAAAGTCAGGAAATAACAGGTGCTGAAGAGGATGTGGAGAAATAGGAACACTTTTACACTGTTGGTGGGATTGTAAACTAGTTCAACCATTATGGAAAACAGTATGGCGATTCCTTAAGGATCTAGAACTAGAAGTACCATATGACCCAGCCATCCCATTACTGGGTATATACTCAAAGGATTATAAATCATGCTGCTATAAAGACACATGTACAGGTGTGTTTATTGTGGCACTATTCACAATAGCAAAGACTTGGAATCAACCCAAATGTCCATCAGTGACAGACTGGATTAAGAAAATGTGGCATATATACACCATGGAATACTATGCATCCATAAAAAAGGATGAGTTTGTGTCCTTTGTAGGGACATGGATGTAGCTGGAAACCATCATTCTCAGCAAACTATCACAAGAACAGAAAACCAAACACCACATGTTCTCACTCATAGGTGGGAAGTGAACAATGAAATCACTTGGACTCGGGAAGGGGAACATCACACACCGGGGGCTATCACAGGGGTGGGGGGAGGGATTGCACTGGGAGTTATACCTGATGTAAATGAAGAGTTCATGGGTACTGACGATTTGATGGGTGCAGCACACCAACATGGCACAAGTATACATATGTAACAAACCTGCACGTTATGCACATGTACCCTAGAACTTAAAGTATAGTAATAATAATAATAAAAAAGAAATGTTATTCAAACTTAACAAGAAATAAAATTCCAATACATCATGCAAAATGGATGAACCTTGAAGACATTATGCTAACCGAAATTAGCCAGATACAAAAGGATAATTATTACATACTTCCATTTATAAAAGATATAATAGCCAGTTACATAGATACAGAAAGTAGAATGGTGAGTGCTACGGGTTAGGGGGAGAAGGAGTGAGAGTTACTATTTATTGGGTACAGAAGTGTAATGGTAGGAGGAAAAAGTTCCGGAAATGGATAGTGTGATGGTTACACAACACTAAATTGCACACTTAGAAATAGTTAATGATAAGCCTTATATTAGATATATAAATAGTGTCCTGGTAGTCTTATACTCTATAAATATACACTTTTTGGTATTGCCCGTTTCCTGCCATGCAGAGTTCCAGAGGTGAATCTCCCTATTTCTCCAAGTGTGCATCACTCACTCTCCTCTGTGCTGTGTCCTAGTGCTGTGCCCACAGCCTCACACAGCCGATGACTTCAGAGCCAGGAAACAGCTCAAGAGTCGGCCCCGAGGTTCCCTCTCTTCTTATTTCCCTGCAACCTAGGCTTCACTTCAACCGGCAGCTCGATTTAGCCGAATTCAGGACAGGCCACCAGGGCTCTTTCTCCACACAAGCTGGTCCCACCCCAGGTGGAGTCAGGCAGGGCCAGACACCAGAGAAGCCCGGAGCAGAGTAGGGAGCGGTCTGAGCTGCTCCTCTCTCATCCAGGGGACTTCCTCCTCATTTGGAGGAAAAATGTGAGCTTGTTTCAAACCTCAGATGTTCCTTGAAGCTCATGGAGTAGTAAAAGAAAACAAAGACGTGGTAGAAAGGGAAGTGTTGGTGACAGCGAGAAAAAACTTGTCCTTGAGGACTCTCCTTCTTGTCCCTCTGTGAAGCCTCTTCCACCACATCGGGCTCAGGACTGACAAATCCCCCTCCCAACCTTTCTCAGCCTGGACTCAAGTTCAGCCATGAGAAAACAGAAACACAAGGAGAAGAGAATCTGTAGAGAGAAATTGGGAGGGCTCCGGAGGAGAATTTGGGATTTGCTTCTGCCCATGGGACACAAGCTGGGAATAAAAAATGTTTTCCTGACTCTTCTCCGAAAGCCAGAGAGACTCTACCTAAAACCCTATAGCCAATGATGCAGGATCCACTTACGAGAGACTTTGATCTTCTTGAATGTGGAACGTTCCCTGCCAGTGGCTGAGTTACGAGCAGAGCAACGATAGAGTCCGTTATGCTTTATAGTAATACGGGGGATAAAGAGCTCTTGTCCTGATTGCAGAAACTTCCCATTAACCGTCCAAGAATACTCTGCCGGTGGGTTAGAGTCCGCGAAGCAGTACAAGTGGAGGTTTTCTCCTCTAAGGTAATAGGAGAATGGAGACACAATGCTGGTGACGTCTGGACCATCTGGAGTAAAGAGAATAAAGCCACAGGTGATGTCGTCTGAGGGAAGGAGATGCTCCTGGTCTCTTAAAGGTACCAGTGTCCCTCTGAGTCAAGACACACCCTTAAGGCCCCGCCAAACCGCTCCTGTGTTCACTGAGTCGAGGCCTGAGGTATTCACCTGTTTCTCCCATCACAGGATGCAGACCCCAAGTCTCCCATGATGAGAGTATCTCTTCACCTTGTATTCTTGGTTAAGGCTATGCCTGCCCAGGTTTTCCCAGGGCAGGGAGTCATGGCCAGCTCGGGAGTCCAGAAATAAAAGTGTCTGTACTTGGACGTGAGAGAGACTGAGATGCCTGGCCTCCGGTCGTTTGGATTTTAGCTGGTGGCCTGGTCCACAGAGGAACCAAAGATACAAAGGACCTCCAGGGTGACTGGGTCACTGGGTATGCTACCAACTCGGTCCCGTATTTTACATTCATAGGGTCTTGTGTCATTTCTTGTGACATTCGCTAGAATGAGGATCCTGTTTTTACCGGGTTCCTTTAGCCTGGGAACTGACCGGGAGGCTCTGACCATTTACCCATCACACATAGGTGTAGCCCTGAGTCTTAGGTTCACAGTTAAGGCTACAACATTCTTATTCTCCATGGGGTTGAAGTTAATGCTGGTGATGTAGGAATTGGGCAGATCCGCTGTGTGGATAACAGAGAGAAGATTGTCCTGTGTGGCACCTTTGATGCCTCCATAGTCATCCTTCAATCAGAGTTGGCATCTCCCACCTCTCCGCCCACTTGAGTCCTTGAAAGTCAGTAGCTGGTGCGTGTGTCACAAGACAGATACATGATTATCTAAGGGCTCAAGGACTATGAGGCCGCCTGCTCTGTCTTAGGGAAGCACAGACTTTCTCAAGTGTGAATTGAGCAGCAGTGTTGGGTCATGGACAGACAGGTCAGTGGGACCCACAGCCCCTGGTACCCCTCCCAGTCCCTCTCTAATCAACTGTCTTGCTGGCTCACCTTGAGTTCCTTACCTGGAATGTGCAACTGCTGGGCCCCTTCCAAATTCCATCTTACTTTGCCCCCCCAGATATGATTTCTCTGCAGTTTCCATTTCCAAGGACTTTCTAGAGATGAGTAATAATGGAACTTTCCATTGTACTGAAACCCTAAGATACTGAACAGCCTGGCCTGGGACTGGATGTTTCAGCAGAAATAAGACAGGGGAGACCAGAGTCAAGCCTGGAGGTCAGTTCAGTCATCAGGCAGTGGAGGCACAAGGTGGGGCAGTTTTCTGCAGGTGTTTCATGATGACTTACTTGAGCCAGTGACCTCCAAAGACAGAGAAGAGTGCAAGGAATGATCTAGAAAGAGTGAAGGGGACAGGCAATAGCTGGTGACTTAGGAGCAGAACCATGTTCCCTATTCTGGATTCTTTAAGTTTCCTCTCCTTCTGCAGAGGACAGGTGAGGACTATGTGGATCTTTCCAGAAACACATGTGGACATTTGCAAATGCAGAACTGACTGGTGGAAAGGGTGGGAATGAACTTCTGGAAATCTGGTCCTCATGGACCATGTGTGTTTGATGTATATGAGACAAATTTAGGGAGAAGTTTTGCAAATATTTTCTTCCATTGGACACTCTCCTCTCTGATTCCATGGGTTTGACTACTCTAGGGACCTCATGTAAGTGAATTCCAGAGTGAATTTGAGAAGAGAGCTGCTGGGAGTGGGGAGAATCGGAAGTTTTTGTGGGTGTGCAGTTTCTGTTATGCAAGACGAGGAAGTTCTAGAGATCTGCTGTACAGCTCGATGCCTATAGTTCACACAGATTGAGTATTTCTTATCCATAAGACTTAGGACAAAAAGTGTTTTGGATTTCTGACATTTTTTGATTCTGAAACGTTTTTCACATACTTGCTGGTGTAGCATCCCAAATCTGAAAGATTCAAAACCTAAAATGCTCAGGTGAGCGTTTCTTTTCAGCATCAGTTAAGTATGCAAAAGTGGGAAGTGATAGGCCAAATACTTTCCTGCCTTTCTTTTTCTTTTTCTTTTTTTTTCTCTCACCACGTTTCTAGCTTGGTGATTAGTTTTTGGTCGATTCTGTAGTGGTCATGCGGCACTTGTATATTCTTGAAGGCTTTGGGATGTGAGAAATAATGATTGCTATTTTCTATGTCATCAAATCTTTCCACGTTTCCATGATTCCATCTTTTCCTCAGTTTCTGTGTTGTGGCAGTCATTAATAAGAGCCTGTCAGGTCAGATTTAGGACAGGTTTTTGTAATTCTGCAAAAAATGTTACTGGGATTCTGGTAGGGGTTGCGTTGAAACTGCAGCTCACTTTGGGTAGTATTGTCTTCCTAACAATATTGATTCTTCCAATCCGTGAAAATGAAATGTCTTTCCATATACTGATGTCGTATTTAATGTCTTTCAGTAACGCTTTGTAGTTTTCAAGGTATAAACCTCAGACAGTTTTGATTAAACTTATTCCAAAATATTTTATTCCTTTTGATGTTAATGTGAATGGAAATTCTTTTCTTAATATCCTTTCACATTGTTCATTGTTAGTGTATAGTCTAAAGAATGATATAGAAAGAGTGAAGGGGACAGGCAAAAGCTGGTGGTTTTCAAGCAGAAACATATTCCCTGTCCTGGGTTTTTGATTTTCCCTCTCCCTTTGCAGAGGGCAGGTGACTCTTCTCTGATAGCCAGATAGACTTCACTGGAAAACATATTGCCAGTGCCCCAGGGACCCACTTAGCAGGGACTATGATCCTTTGGATTATGAGATTTGTTCCAAAAGTGGCTGAGTTATGTATGAAACAGACATAGACCCCTCTATATGTTTTAGTGATTTGGGGAAAAAGAACACTTGTGCTGATTGCTGGAACTTCCCATCAATCAGCCAAGAAAGCTCTGCCAGTGGGTGAGAGTCTGTGAGGCAGGAGAGCTTGAGGACTTCCCCTGTGTGCTAACAGGTGTACGGAGAAGAAATGGTGGGATCATCCAAGCCATCTGGAGCAAAGAGAATAAAGTCACAGATGATGATGTCAGAGGGAAGGGAAAATGCTGATCTGTGGAAGGGCCACCTTGAACCTGTGAGCTAAGTCACAACACTGAAGTCCCAGTCAAATCCCTGCTGTGTTCACTGATCTGGACCCTGAGACAGTCACCTGTTTCTCCCATCATAACCTGTGGACCCTGAATCTCCCATGACAGGAGCAGCCTCTTCTCTCCCATTGTTGGTCAAGACTAAGGCTACTCCTTGTAGTCATGGCCAGCTTTGATGTCCAGGGGTAAAGGTCTCTGTACTTGCACCCGAGAGGGACTGGGAGGCCTGGCCTCTGGCCATGTGTATTTGGGATGGCAGCGTGGCTCACAGAGGAACAGAAGATACTCACAGACAGGATTCAGGGTGACTGGGTCACTGCGGCTGGAACTCACTGGGCTCTTCATTTCACATTCATAGGGTCCTGCGGTACGCCTTGTGACACCAAATAGAATGAGAGTCCTGTTGTTTTCGGACAGCTGCAACCTGGGACTGATAGGGAGGATCTGACCATTTATCCACCACCGGTAGCTTGCGTTCGGAGTGTCAGGATCACAGGATAAGGTCACAGTCTCCATGGCCTCCCGGGGGTTTAAGTTGCTGCTGGAGATGTAGGGCTTGGGAGTCTCCACTGTGCAGATAACAGAGAGAAGATTGCCCTGTGTGTCACCTTTGATTCCTCCAAAGACATTTTTCAACCAGAGTTGGCATTTCCCACCTTTCAGCCCACCCAAGTCCTTAAAAGCAGACATTTTCAATCAGAGTTGGCATTTCCCACCTTCAGCCCACCCAAGTCCTTAAAAAAGCCCATGCCATCAGGTGTGTGTGTTACAAGACAGACACATGGCACCTGAGGGCTCTGAGATTGTGAGGCTTCCTGCTTTATATGAGAGAAGCACAGACTTTCTCATGTGTGAATTGAGCAGCAGTATTGGGTCATGGAAAGGCATGGGACCAGCAGTCACAGCCCCTAGTGCCCCTCTGAGTCCATCCCTCTCCAACTGCCTGCCCGGGCCCACCCTGTGGTCCTCACCTGAGCATGCAGTGCTGAATCTTCTTAGTTTCAGTCTTACTTTGCCCCCAAGATACGTTTTATCTACAGCTTCCCTTTCAAGGACATCCTAGAGATGGATGATAGAACTTCCCATTGTCCTTAAACCCTTTGGCTACTGGGAAGTCTGGCCTGGGACTGGGTACTTCAGCAGAAAAAACACAGGGGAGACCAGAGTCAAGCCTGGAGGTCTGTCTAGTCATTAGGGCAGTGGCGCCACAAGGTGGGCAGTTTTTCCAGCTGTCCTACAGTGACTGACTTGAGCCAGTGACTCTAAAGATAGAGCAGAGTCCAAGGAATTGTTCCACAAAGAGTGATGGGACAGGCAAGAGCTGATAGCTTGGACCAAGACCATGTTCCTCGTTCTGTGTCCATGATGTTCCCCTTCTGTAGAGGGAAGGTGAGGACCATGTGGTTGTTTCTGTGAAAATACATGTGGGTTTTTGAAAATGCAGAACTGACTGGGGGAAAGGGCGAACATGAACTGATGATGGAAGTCTGGTCAATGACGATATGTGTTTGTACATAGAACAATATTTGGGAAGAAGTCTTGCAGAAACTTTCTGTCATTAGACATTCTACTCTCTGATTCTATGAGTTTGACTACTCTATGTACCTCATCTCAGTGGATTCCAGAGTGAATCAGAGAGTAGAATAGTATGTTCAGGAGCTAGTCGGGGAATAGGGCATTGTTCCATAGCTGTGTGGTTTCAGTTAGGCAGGTTGAGGAGGTTCTAGAGATCTCCTGTACAGCTTCATGCCTATAGTTCATACAGATAAAGTGTTCCTTATGCAGAAAGTTTAAAACCAAGCGTTTTGGATTTCTAACTTCTTTTTTTTTATTTTGAACTTTGGCAGATGTACTGGTTTATCACCCAAATCTGAAAAATTTGAAATCCAAAATGCTTCCAGTGAGAACATCTTTTCAGCATCACATCAGTGGTCAGAAGCATTGATTCTGAGCATTTAGATTTTGGATTTCTAGATGTGGGATGCTCAATTTGTAATACTGTAATTTTCTCCAAGCAAAGTTGTCAGGAATTTAGATCATGTTATGTTCTGACTCTAGTAACAAGACAAAAAAAAAAATTTTAAGGAAACTTTAAAATGTTGGGTTACAAGTGGAAATTTTAACTGATGGTTCAAATATCTAAGATCAATAAGCCGGTAGGAGTATTTCTCTTGATACCAAATTATGTTTAGGTGTGGGGTGAATCTGCAGGATCAAATTATGCTCAAAGAAAAGATGCCAAAGGTGATTTGAAATTAGCAAGTCTCAAGTAGAAAGAGTCCCCATTAAAAGGACAGAACTGGCCAGTGTGTCAATTACATAAAGGGAGGAATGATGCAGAATTAAAAGAAGTGATGTGTGTTATGTTAGTAAATATAGAAAGAACTCCCTGTTTCTAATTTCTGTGCAGAGTTAGAAAAAATGGGGAGGAGCCCAAAACAGGTATGTGAAATGCTTTCTTCATTTTCTGTTAACTCTAGGAAATACAACTAGAGTTTCAGTTTGTGTGAATTAGAAAGAGTCTAAGTGAGACGCTCAATGGCTCATGTGTCCCCACAACAACACCAACTTATGAAAATGGCATCACCAGGAGGAAACAATCATATGTGGCACAGGCAGTAAAACCACTGTGATAGCAACCTCTGGCCACTCCAACAGGTCCCCGACACCACCAGTATTCCCATTACATGTGGCTGTTACAGCCTTGTAGTTGTCCCACAACCACAAAATTTAAAATTAAGGGCTGTCAATACAAATGTTAAATATGAAGTAGAACATGTTGTCCTAATTTTTCCACTCTTTTGAACTTTCCTGTTTCCAGTTTCGTAAAGTTTCTACGTTGACATCCTCAAGCTTAGCAGTCCTTCCTCTGCTGTGTGCATTCTACCAGTAAGCATCAAAAGCATTCTTCATTTCTCTAACAGCACTTTTTTTTTTTTTTTTTGAGATGGAGCCTCGCTCTGTTGCCCAGACTAGAGTGCAGTGGTACGGTGTCTTGGCTTACTGCAAGCTCCACTTCGGGTTCACACCATTTTCCTGCCTCAGCCTCCCGTGTAGCTGGGACTACACACGCCTGCCACCGCGTCTGGCTATTTGTTTGTGTTTAGTAGAGCTGTGGGTTTCACCCCGTGTTTGGGTTGTGCATGGTCTCGATCTCCTGACCTCGTGTGATCCACCTGCCTCACCTCTTCCCAAAGTGCTGGGATTACAGGCGAAGCCACTGTGCCAGGCCATCTCTGAGGGATTTCAATGGGTTGTTGACTTTTGAGTTTGTTCAGCTGTTTACTTACTGTTAGAACAGAGTGACAACCCCCAAGTTTGTCGTGCCTGACGGGAAACCAGAAGTCTCTGTGGAAGTGACTGAGAATGTGAACTCCAGTAGGCTGAGAATGGAGTCACAAGTGAAATGGGTGAAATAAGCCCATTGGTTTTGGAGACTGCAGGCCTGTCCAGCCTCTGACACCTGGTGTGAGTCAGTGCAACGATTCCAACAGTGACACAAAAATTAGCACGGTTGACTCCATCTGGCATCTAGTCTCAGGTCAGTTGTCCTCACTCATTCCTGGACATAGGCCAGGCTAACCATGGGAGTGAACAGTTTATGGTTTAATCCTTGAAGAAACAATAATAGTTCCCTCGATAAAACTAATACCCTTAGTTTGTCTAGGGACTGCCCCTTTGTAAAACTGGTGAAAACCATGAGAGTAAGATTACAGAGGGAACTGAATTTGCCAAAGTGCAGGCACAGTTTCACATCCCTTACTGCTCAAATGTCATTTGGTCAGAGTTTACAAAATTTAGCAATTGCTCCAATAGATAACATCACTATTGTAGAACCTGAGTGCTGGTGTTTTGAGATGTTTCTTATTCTTGCATTCTGCAACCTGCTGACCTCATCCATACCCATGACTAATGGCTCAGTCAGTCCCGTGGTCCCCACCTAGAGGCGGATTCAAGCACAAACGGATCATTTCCCTCCGCCCGCATGATTCCATCATCAAACAATCAGCAGTACCCATTTTTTAGTCCTGTGTCCCTGAAACTATCCTTGAAAATCTCTAACCCGTGATCCACTAGGAGGCTAATTTCTAAGTAATAATAAAACCTCTGTCCTCCTGTTTGGCAGACTTGGACTTATTAAAATCTTTCTTTACTGCAAATCACCATCGGGATAAATTGTTTTTTTTGCAGGAGGCCAGAAGAACTGCTTGGGAATTATAAGAGGATGGAGGAGCTGCCTTTCCTGTCCCACGGTCTTGTCTGTCAGATCAGCTCTCCACAAAGGGAAAGATCCTGGATGGGGCTACAGTGGAAGATCATTCTCTAGTGACCTGGGACATTGGCTCGAGATGAAGCTTTTCAGGAGTGGAAACTCCAGTTGATTTCTGTGCCTTTCCTATTTCCTGGGAGGTGGGCCAGGTCACAGTGTTAGCAGGAAGGGAACAGAACAGTCAGCCTAGTTAGAGGGAGTGTCTGGGGAAGGCCTAGGGATGGAGGAAGAAGCTGTGCAGGACAGGGCTTCACAGGTAGAATGAAGTGGGAGGAAGATGAGGACACAGAGAAGCAGAGAGAGCAGAGACAGCATGACAGTGAACAGGCATACAGTGATTTCAGTGACCCCAGGGACCGTGTGCTCCCCGCTTCCACAGTCCAGGACTCAGGAGCCCTGAAAACCCTCCAGTGGCCAAAGAGCTTCAGAGTAACACATGAAGTGGGATGGCTTTAGGGGCAAGAGGAAGTGGGGGGATGAAACGTGAGGCTGGGGCCTCTGAAGGACAAGGGACAGGTGTGGCGAGAATTTCCTAGGATTCTGCATCCAAGATCCAGCTCCTAAAGAGGTTATGGATCATTCGTTTCTTCATTCAATTCCTTCATTTGTTGGTGTGTGAGAGCTCCTGAGTGTGTGTCTCTCACTGACTTGTGCTGGTGCAGGGTGTGTGAGTGGGAATGGAAACAAGGTCCTCTTTTCTCCTGTCGCGCCAGTGACATGGACACTTTGGGAAACACAGGATTTCAGGTTCAGTGATAGGGGTTAAGATCTGGAGGGGACGCCTGGACATTTTTTTTGCACTAACTCTGATGGTTGAGGCAGGTGATTTTAGTTCTGGAGCAGACCAATCAGCTGACCATCTACCTCACCTCTGATGCCTGGGATGCCTAAGAAGAGAGGATTTGAGCCAATAAATGACTACAGGGTCATTGGAACCCAATAAGCCCTCACTTCTGGTGGAGGAGAGGATGGACCTGTGGCTGCAGACAGACCTCATGTGACCCTGATCTGCCTTTTGTGTTTGTGTGATCTTGGTTCAGTGACTGTGCCTCTCTGTGCTCAGTTTTCTCTCAGTCAAATAAGCTAAATGGCAAATGGACTGTGGGTTTTCATGCTATCTGTGAATAAATTGTAAATTCTTCACAGTCACCTGACCTAATGCTTGGCACAGTGGAGGTGTTCACACAAACAGTATTTATTATTATTCACTCCCATGAGCTTGTGCACCTTTAGGTCAGATCCCTGTGGATATTGTCAGGGTACATTTTCTCTCTTCTGCTTCTGCTTCTGCTTCTGGGGACATTAGACTTCCTGTGGAGTGTCCTAAGCCTCACAAGGCAGTTGGCTGATGGCCTGGCAAAGCTTGCCTTTCAGTCCTCTCTACTCTGGAGTGTCAGGTGAAGAAAGCTCTGTCCTTGACCAGATGAGGTTCTGAGGGCTGAGCCCTGGCTAGTGAGCAGCTCCAGGAGACACAGTCCTCAGACAGCTGGTGAATCCTTTGTCCCAGTAAGCCCTGCCACAACCCAGCCCTGGCACAGGCTCCTCAGCTTTATCTGGAGTAAGGATTTAGGACGGGTCTGGGGGTTGAGGCTTCTGGGCTGAGCTTCTCTGGAGAGTATCTCAGGGGGCCTCTAGGCAAAGCCCTGCCTGCTCCCTCCAGCCTTCTCAGGGTCAAGTTTATGAAGAGGGCATGAGGTGCTTGGCTGAGACTGATTCTCCTGCTGAGTACTCACTTCCTCCCATCAGACTGTCCTTCCTGTGCAGCAAGTGTCTGCAGGCTCTGGAGGCAGGAAAGGAATTCTGATCTGTTGTAGTTTGTCTCCTCTGTGTGTGTCCTGCACTAAATGCTGAAGCCTCAACATGATAATAACAAGAGGGAGGGACATAGGCACAGTCTGGGCCTGACAATCCTGTGTGTGCAAAGTAGAAGTGGGACTCCCCCAATTTCAACACCCAGGGATCATGTGGAATCACCACCGTATAAGGTGAAATGTCAAGTTACTCTTTCAGTCCTATCACCTCGCTTTATGATGATTTCTACGGTGTAGGATCCTGCGTCCTTCTGGTTCACACTCTGGATCATCAGGGATGCATTGGAATATACTCTTTCTCGCCCACTGTATGGCTCAAATACAATTCTTTCTGTGTGTCTATTGCATATGGCTGTAAATGTAAATGCTGAGGTCCAGCTATTTGCCCTTTGTACCAGATGGTAGGCAGCAGGATTCTGGGCAAATTGTGTACAAGTAGAAGAACATCGTTTCAGAAATGTTGGTTGGCTGAGCTTCAATTGTGACTTGGGCAGGAAGTAGTTCCAGAAGATTAAAAGTGATGCTAGAGGTGGAGAGCATCAGTCAATATTGAGACTCATGTATTGGGGTGAAAAGATGGGGTCATGCGTCCTGAGAAGATCTCTTCAATCATCAGCCTTGAAGACACACACACATACACACACACACAATCCACACATACCTCTTTTTGTGTGTGTGAGTGTGATTGTGTGTTTGTGTCCTACTGTCCTACTGTCCTACTGGGTGAAGGTCAGTGCGTGACTCCCCCATTCCTTCAACACTCTTGACCTCGGCATTTTTCTGTTTGAATCCTCTTCCAGAGGTCTGCATGGCTCCTCCACACTGCCTCAGGTCATGCTCTACATCAGGGCATCCTTAGACTTCTTTCCTGATACCTCCTTCAGAGACTCTGGGTCTTCCTTTCACCTTTCCTGCTCTGCTCCCTCCAGAGCTCTTGTCAACACCTGACCTCACATTCTAGATCTCTTTGCATGTCTGTCTTCTTCCCCATGAGAGCATGTGAGCTCCGGGGTGGGAGGGACAGGACTTTTATGATCTTGGTTGCACTCCCCAGTGCCTGGGACAGGCTGCAGACTCCTGCAGATATGAGGGTTCGAAGGGCCCTCCATGCCTGGGGTGTTTTTTTCTTTCCCTCAATTGTTGAGGTTTTCTTGGTGAGGACAGTGTTTCATGTGCCCTGCTTACATTTTCATTTGAAGTGCAATCTACAATAGTTATTATTATCATTTTTCAAAATGTGGTGTCCAGCAGCAGGATGATTAACCAGGAAAACCAGAACACTTGAGATTTTCCTACCTCTTACCAATTCCGGTTCAATGTGATTTTCCTGTTTTGACCCCCCATTCCTTTCTGCGATATTTTTCTCTATCCAGGCTCCAACAGAGCCTTCTTTTCCTGTATTTTTTTTTTTTTTTTTTGAGACAGAGTCTCTTACTGTCAGCCAGGTTGGCATGCAGTGGCACAATCTCCGCTCACTGCAACCTCTGCCTCTTGGGTTCTTGCAATTTCTCTGCCTCAGCCTCTCAAGTAGCTAGGATTACAGGAGCACACCACCACACCTGGTTAATTTTTTGCATTTTTAGTAGAGATGGGCTTGTGTGTGTTGAGCAGACTGGTCTTGAACTCCTGACCTCATGATCCACCCACCTCAGCCTCCCAAAATGCTGACTTTCATTTTTAAGAACCCCATCCTCTCAAGGAGACCCTCTATCCAATCATTCTGCTTCTCCTCCTGTCCTCTCCGAGGAAGTTCTCTCTCACCTGTGAGCAGGAGCTCCTTCCAGGTGATGTGCAGTGTGCAGGAAGGGGCTGAGAGGGGCCCCGTGGCCTGTGCTGCCTGCATGTTCTCCTCTGTGGGAGATGAGCCTGATCCAGAAACTTTCTGAGCACGGCTGTCAGCTGTGCTGTCCTTCCTCTTTCTGTGCTGAGCCTCTTCCCGGGCAGGAGAGCACTTCTCAGGCTCATGTATGGGTCTGTGCCTGTGGACACCCCTCTGTCCCCACCTCTCAGTCCTGCTTCCTTTGTCCTCCTTCTCTATTTCCTTTTGTCTGTGTGTCAGGGTCCCCTGGGAACTGTGGAGGCTCTCTGCCTTTTCTTGCAGTGATTCTGTCAACAAACCTCGATGCACACTATGTGCAGAAACACAAACACACACACAAAAGAGACACACACAGACACACACGGTCGGCACACACACCCTGTAGGTTAAGTAAGCACAGTCCTGCACCCTCAACCTCCTGCTATCCCCATGGTCTGGTCGGGTGACATTTGTGCCCTTTGCCCTCTTTCATCCCCATCTAGCTCTCCCCTTCAGTGCAGGAGGCTGGAGCTGCACCAGGTCCTCTGTCACAGGACACCCCCATTGTGCTGTGGGTGATGTGTGCTGCCTGGTGACAGGGACCATTCCTTTCTCTCTAATTGTGTCTAGCTTGGCTGTAGCTTCCAAGGATGGACATTCAGGACCTGTGTCCCATGCAAACTGTCCTTCCTGGAGGTGTGCAGGGTGAATCTCTCATGCCTCTTGTGAGGAGAGGCCTGTGCTGGTTTCTCAGAGGGGGCTGTGAGTCCCATGGTCAGAGGACAGTTCTCAGTCACTCTATTGCTCCCTGGGACTGGGTGGCTGAGCTGGGGCTCAGGGTTTCTCATTTCTTCCTGACCATCTTTGGTGTCCTCTCTTCTGTGCCCAGCTGACGGTACTGTGGTCAGGCACAGTACACTTCCCCATGGTGGTGCAGGAGGAAGTGGGAGTTACCGAGAACCCCCGTGGAACATGGCTCATTGAGACACAGGAAGGAGCCTGGGACAGAGCAGGGGTTAAGAGCTGGAGATATTCATCCCGACTTACTCCGTGATCATGATGGGCTCAGCCTCCCATGTGCTGACATAGCCAGGGTCTGTCCCAAGGGTTTTGAATTGGCGAAGCTACTCTCTGTAGAGGAGTAACAGGCTGTCTGAGATACTCGTTTGGAGGACGCTATTCACCCCTGAGAGGGCAGGAGGGTGAGTTGTGTTCTGGGAGCAAAGAGCAGTAATACTCTTCTCGCTGCAGGGACACAGGAGAGTTCTGTCTTCCCAAGGGACAACTGGGTAGGTGGCCAAGATCCTGATGGTGCCTGTGTGTGACTATCACACGGGCTCTGGAAATACCCCACGGTGCAGCGGCAGGCAGGTCACAGGTGGCCTGACTGATTCTCAGGAGGCTGTGACCTCAGGCAGCCGCTTTCTGTGTCAGCGCTAGGTTTGGCCTGGGATGCCCTGGTGAGAACAGGACACATGGAGCAGGGGCGGCATTTAGGAGCAGTGACAGGAAAGAGTTGATGAGGCTGGAGGGAGGCCGAGGGGAAAGCGCGCAATGTGGAGCCAAGGCACCAGCGCCTGCCCTGGGAGATGTCTTTTAGCTGAGCCCAGGAAGGAGCAGGTGTGTGGGGCAGGAGCTGCCTGCAGAGGGAGTGGTGTTAGGCTGGCGGCCACCAGGTCAGGAGGAGTTGGGACAGAGTCCATGTGGGGGAGCATGGGAGGACGTTGAGGTCTTGGGCCGAGGTGACCTCTGGTGAGGGACTCTGCTTGGCTATGGGTTCTGCTGAGTGGACGTCGGCATCCCTGGGAAGGCTCCAGGCTGGAGGGACTCTGCCGCCTCTGGGTGGACTGGAAGGAAGTGTGGGTGGCCGAAGTCCCTGCCAGGCTGCGTGTTTTATTCCACAAGGATCTGCACATTTCACGCGAGGTCACACATATGTTATGTTACAGCTCCATCACCTTCCAGCCCCGTGAGTCCCATTCTGTGGCTCAGCCACATTTGCTCTCCCTCTTTCTGCCAATCGGATGTCCTTTAACGCAGATTTTGTCACCTTCTGTGAGTTTGTGTGTATGTGCAGTAGGCGGCACTGTGTACTTCTGGGGCAGTGATGTCTGGGGCTGAGCACTGCACACATGGGCTTGGGAGCTTCCAGCTAACTTGATTGAAAAAGTGATACGTTTCATGGAAACACTGGGTCAGATGATGTATTCATGGGCTTTAGCTGCTAAAACAAACAACTTAGCCTCGTAATTAAATAATAAAATAGATTTTTCTACAGTTCTGTGAATTATGTGCTATTTTAACCACTCTTTAAAAATGTGCAATCAAGTGGAATTAGCCACATACACAGTGTTAAGTTCCCATCACCATGTTTTCATGCAGAAAATTTTTGTCATTTTAAACTGAAACTTGTATCATTGAAACAATAACTCCCTGTATTTTCCACCCTAGACCTTGACTGCCTCTACTCTATCTCTTAAGTGAATTTGCTCTATTCTAGATGTTTCATGTACATGAAATTATATATATATATATATATGTTATTTAGTTTTATTATATTTCACTTAGCATAGTGTTTCCAAAGTCGATGCATGTCCCAGCGGATGTCAGAGCTTCCTTCCTTTTTATGGCAGATTTACATCCTGTTGTATGTGTCACCACATTTGTTTATTGATGTGTTGATGAACACTTGGATTGTTTTCATATTTTATTTTTTATGAGTAATGCTGCAATCAACAGTCCCATGTACACCTATTTGAGTCCCTGGTTCAGTTTTTGGTACATATCTAGGAATGGGTGCTCTTTTATATGAGAATTCTATGATTATCTTCTTGAGGAACAGCACATCTGTTTCTCCTAGTAGCTGTACCTTTTTCTAATCTCACCAGTAATGTATGAGGATTCCAAATTCTACATAAGCCTTTCACTTGTTATTTAACATTTTAAAAAGAATTGTAGCTATATTTGTAGGTGTAGTGTGGTATCTCCTTGTGGCTTTCACTTTGTATTTTGCTAATGACTATGATGTTGAGTTTTTCATGTCCTCTTGATGATTTGCATATCTTCTTTGAGGAAATGTCTATTTGCGTCCTTTGCCCATTTATATAAATTGGTGGTTTGTCCTTTTGTTATCCAGTTGTAGCAGTTCTTTATCTATTCTGGCAAGAAATCATTGTCTACACATTTGTAACTATTATGTGTCATTCTGTTTGGTCTTTTATTTTCTTGATAATATCTTTGATGCACAAAAGCCTTGCATCTTTAGCCCAATTTATCTATTTTTCTTTTTTGTTTCTCATGCATTTGGGTCATACCTGAGAATCCATGGCACACTTGAGGTCATTAAGTTTTACCCCTATGTCTTTTTCTAAGATGTTTTTATGGTTATAGATCTTATAATTAACTCACTGATCCATTTTTAGATAATTGTTTGATGTACAAAGTATAGTTCTCTACATTTATTGTCTTGCATGTCGCTACCTAGTTATTTCTGCACCATTATTTGAGGGACAGTGAGCTCCTAATGAGGTATACATTGCTTTGAACACAATGTTGTCAGAGGAGTTGTGTTCATCTCTACTTTTATTTTTGGCAGTTTGGATCTCTGTTTGACATACTAGATATAGAAATCTTTGTTCATTCTCTTGTTCTGGTTTATTGACCTACGCTGGAGCTGGAGGAATATGTGCCTTGCAGAGGAGTGATCCCCATGGGAAAGAGCAGGCTCAGCAGAGTGAAAGCAGCTGAGACCCCAGAAGCCAGTGAGGTCTGGACTCTTAGAACAAAGACCAACAGGTGGGTGTCCTCAGGGCAAAATGGACTGCACTGGTACCCATTCCAGTGTACTGAGAAAGGTAAGATTCTTTGATATTCCATTTTCTCTCTCAGCTCTTCAGCAGGAGATTTGGGCCTCAGCTGGTACTGTCCCTGCAGCAGGGACAGGGTGGACAGGGATGGCTGCATATCAGGCCTAAGTCCATGTCATCCTTTCAGGTACTGCCACTGAAGATGGATGAATTTTGTTCAGAGGCCCAGCTCTGGGCACATGGGAGGAAATCCACCTTATTAAAATTAATTTGAAGAATACAGTATGCATGCTTTATTCTTCTAGAATAATTATTAATGTCATGTTTACTAAATGTATCTCTAAAGGAATGGGTAGAATCATCACATAATATATATGTTTTAGTTGGTCTTTTCTATAATTGCAGCTTACATGAAATTCTTATAGAAATCCATTTCCTTTGGGGGAACACACAGGCAGTATCTCTGTGTTCATTTCTACTGGGAAAATGTTTACAGGGTGAGAGAGTCACATTTCCTAATGAGAGATTGAAAGCATTTGACTATCAGAAAAGTAGTTAAAATTCTGTGGATAAGGATCATAAAAAGGTAAGGAAGTCAGTTTAAGTGGGGTATCAGGCAAAGCAGTTTTGAAAGTCTTTTTATTTTATTTTTGTTTTTACAAAACCATGGGCAGAAGCCACCACCTGACCCACCACATGTTGGAATGGATGAGGGACAGAAATGGAGCTCAGTAAATTGAGAATGAAATCCAGGAGTGGGGAAGAGGTTTGAGACACACACGGTGAGAGGTGAATGGTGAATGATGAATGTTCAAAACATCTTCTTCTCCATAAGAGAGCATTTAGTCTCCTGAGCCAGATAGTAACAGGCCAGGGGGAGCAGGATGTTGTCAGCTCTCCTGGTCAAAAGTGAGACTCTGCAGTGTCCAATTACTTATCCAGTTTGGGATTTATTCCTATTTTAAAAATGACTCAACAGTATGCAGTTTTGAAAATATAAAATCCCTATACTACCATTCAAAGATAGACAAGATTGCCCTAAGATGGTGAAAGAATCAGAATGGGGTTTGGGTTTACATTGTGTATTTTTTTTTATCCTAATGTCTACAGAATTCCCTACATCAATTTTTTAACATAACCCAGTGTGTGTCATTCCCTTTCACATTTACAGACATTTCCAGTTCATGGTTACAGACTTTGGGTAACTCCACACTCTTCCTGCTGTGAGGTACAGGTGAAACAGCGTGGCATCACCTCTAAACATGTTTCTCTGGGACATCAAATTGCTGATTAAGCAAAAGTCATTTCAATAGATATTGAAGACTCCATTTTACCCCTCTCATACTTGTAATTTTGCTACCAAGAGGTGATAGATTTTAGTGGTGATTTGCTTTTGTAGATAGTAGATTAATGCTTCTACCTAGGTAATTCTTGTGCTCAGAAAAAGCATTTACATAAAAGTCTGGAGACATTACTGGTTGTCAGGAGCTGGGGAGGGAGTGCTGCTGGCCTTGATTGGGTAGAGTCCCCAGATAGTGCTGAACATTCTGAAGCTCGCAGAGCCCCACCAGCATGACCACTACAAAGTTCAATGCTGAAGCTGGAGTGGGAGAGCCCTGATATGCCTCCCCCTAGCTTCCTGAGATTTTTACCTTTTCTTCCATCAGTCTCTACCACTTTCTCTCACCTCAGCTTGCTCCTTTCTGAAACTTTGTGCCTCCGCTGAACTTTCTTAGTTTAAGACCTGCTGTAATCTCTAGACTTCCTTGACCCCTTTCTAATCCTCAGCAGGGTGTCTCAGAAGGGATCTCGCCTTCCTGGAGCTTCCTAGGATCCAGATGCCCCCTGCCCTGTGTGGGCACTAGGATATGGCTGTGTGCCTGTGTCCTAAAGGTCCTGTCACTCAGGACATTTGTGTGAGAGCAACTGAGGTGATATTACTCCTCCCTACTTTTTCTGGAACATAAAAATATGTACAAACCTTGTAGAGTAAAATTTCTCGATGCATATGAAAATTTAAAAATTATATATTTTTGCCTTCCAAACTTTACTGGGAAAAATTTATCACACTACCAGTCTTGAAAAATGACGCCTAATCAGGGTTATTCACTGTATTGTTTGTCTAACAGCAAAATATTGGGAACAACCTAGACTTTCACCAGCACGATGCTAATTCAACAGATTACCTTATATCTACACAATAGAATACAATACAGTTGCATTAAAAGTAGAGAATCTTTCAGCTATCTATATGGAAACACTCATGTTCTATTTTAATTATGGCACCTAAACATCACAGAACAAGATGAAGCTTTTAAATAGATGTGACCTTAGAAACATTATTTTTACTGTTTTTTTTTTTTTTTTTTTTTTTTTAAGAGAGAATGTGTCACTCTTATACCCAGGCTGAAGTGCAGTGGCGAGTTCATAATTGACTGCAGCCTCAACCTTGTAAGCTCAAGCAATACTCTTGTCTCAGTCTCCTGAGTAGCTGGAATCACAGGCATATGCCACCATGCCTAACTAATTTTTGTAGTTTGCTTTCAGAGATGGGGTTTCACCCAGGCTGGTGATATCCCAGGCTGGTCTCCAACTTCTGGGCTCAAGTGATCACCCACTCTCTCTCCCAAAAATGCTGGAATTATAAGCAAGTGTCATCACACCTGATTGTGCGTTTTGTTTTTTTTTCCAAATTCAATGCAGTCTACCTACCTACCCTTCTGTATTCAGGTGATTTCTATTTTTCTTCTATTTCTACCATATGTCCATGCCAAATCCACATGTATTTGCTTTTGTTTAGAATTAGATTTTTTTTTTTAAGAGAAGCCTTAGGAATGGTCTCCAGCTGATTTTCAGGATTCTAATCTTCACTGTCTAAGCCATAGGTTTACAATTCTGGATAATTGGATTAGACTCACTTATAGGTAGAGATGAAGTCTACCAATGCCTGTACCATCCCTCAAGTGTATCTGATCGGCTGATGTGCGTGTTGTCCAGGGATTGGTTGTTTATAAATGCTTTCAAGGAAAGTGTCATTTTATGGAGGAACTTTGAGCCCAGATCAGCACATCCACAGTAATCAGAGACAATAAGGCAGGAGATCACCCCACATTGTTCATGCCCAATTTCTGCCTCCAAAGAAAGAAGTAAAAACTAAAAGGCAGAAACGAAATCCACAGGCAGACAGCCCGCACCCGCACCTGGGCCTGGTAGCAAACATGGACTACTGAATTTAATTGAACAGAACAAACCTGCACATTGTGCACAGGTACCTCTGGGCAACTTAGCATTAAAAAAAAAAAAAGACAGAGTTTGTAGGACATGGATTCAGCTGGAACTCACTATCTTAGCAAACTATTACAAGAACAGAAAACCAAACACCGTATGTTCCCATCTATAGGTAGGAATTGAACAATGAGAACACTTGACACACGTAGACGGGAACATCACACACCGGGTCTGCTGTGGGGGTGGGTGGAGGGGACACAGAGATATATTAGGTAATGATGAGTTAACGGGTGCATCACACCACATGGCACATGTATACATATATAACAAACCTGCACGTTGCACACATGTACCCTAGAACATGAAGTATAAAAAAAAATTTTAAAGACAAAGGAAATTTTAAAAAAAAAAGAAAATTACGGTTATTGAGACTAATGGTAATTCTTTAAGTTTTGGTCATATTCTCACCTAAGTGAGAGTACAGACACTCCAAAAAAGAACCACACATGCTAGATGTCATATACTCCTAATTGAAAATTTAAGGAAGCAGATAGCTCTCAAAACAGATCATATTTTTCTGTAAAAAGAAGATTCCAGTCTACCTGAGTGAGCATAATAAGGAAGTCCCCTCTGCTTTAACATTTACCAAAAAAAGTGACTCAAAGCACTCTGATGTTAACCAATCAACTTATCTCTATGGCTTTGTTTACTGATCCGCATTTGACAAAACCCACTGTTATGTTATTGTATTGCCTAGGAGGAGTCATCACTGTGTTCGTAGAGGGAGAGCTGTCCCAAATCATAAAATGACAAATAAAAGCCAATTCCATATATAACTAAATTAGTTGTAATTTTGTTTTGTCACACATGTTCACAGCAAGCAATGTACAGAGGAGTCTTCAGGCTGTATCATTCTCACCCTGACCCTACTGCCTTTCTTTCACTACAAGGACCTTTATGATGACATTGGGAGCTACCTGTGATAATCCAGAATAAGCTTTCCATCTGAAGATAATCAACTGCATCACTGTTGAACAGTGCTTTTTCCAAGAAAATTAATGTATGTGTTCCAAGTGTGTTAGATGCGGAACTTTTTTTTTTTTTTTTTTGAGAGAGAGTTTCACTCATATGTTGCCACAGCTAGAGTATGCAAGTGATCTCAGCTCACTGCAACCTCCACCTTCCAGGTTCAAATGATTCTCCTGCCTTACCCTCCCAAGTAGCTGAGATTACAGGCGCCTGCCACCACGCTCAGCTAATTTTTGCATTTTTAGTAGAAACAGGGTTTCACCATGTTGGCCAGGCTGGTCTCGAATGCCAGACCTCATGATTTGCCTATTCCCATTCTCCCAAAGTGCTTGGATTAAAGGCATGAACTACTGCACCCAGCCCAGATGTGGGACGTTTCTAAGAGGCCATTATTCTGTCTCATACAGGTCACTTTACAAACATTCCCACAATAAAATATGTTTTGCCTTCCTTCCATGTCTTAGCTTTCTGTCTACACAAACCACAGTGAAACATACTAACTCAGCTATGAAGGCTGACACCAGGACACCTGCTCTGACTTCTCAGCTTTCCTCATCTGGCGGTATATTGACTTTACTGCATCAGAAAATGACAGTGTGAAGAGTAAATTGACGTGTGTAAGACATTAGTCACAGAGCCTGGTATCTGATGAGCCCTCGGTAAACATTCCTTTCATTTCTTTTCCTTTCACTATCCCATTTTCATCCTCACTCATCTCTCCTTCAACCCTTACTCTTCAGTAACTTTCAGTCTAACTCCACAATTGAAGGCTTTCACACTACCCATTCTCTCATGACTTGATGGTGTGTTCTGTGATAGAATCTGCTATCCACTCAAGGCAATGAGTATTATTTATATAGAGAGGTCTGTTTGCAACAAGAAATCCTTTTTAGGTTCACA